CAGAGAGGATCGGAGTCACAACATTTTTGGTTATCATGTGCGTGAAGAAAGTCTTTCATGATTCGATCTTTCAGCTTAAGAACAGGCTTTCTGCAAGCATTTCACAACTTCAAGAGTAGTTTGCCAAGCGTTGAATTGCGAACTAGACGAAACCCATAAAGCTAGAGCTGTCATCGCTGTTTGGACTTGTTTCCCTCTTAAAATTGAGCGGGGTTCTTTGATGATCTGGAGACTTTGTTTCGCATCTAGAACCACTCTCTGCCTTCTCAAGGCGGCCAACATCTCTCTTTTCTTGAACTCCACGACCACATTTCCCGGGCATATTATCTTAACATCCACTGTTAAGACTGTAGAAAACAACTTGCTAGGGGCTGTAAAGGTTGCCTCGCTCAGAGCTTTTTCTGGATCGATGAGGTTATCTTCGAACATTCCGTCGTTTCTGACGTCATCTATTGAGTTCCCGGCTGTGAGCACTTTGAAAATAGCATTGAACGCTTTGACAATTGACGACTTGGTCTGAATGGGAAGACAATTAAGGGTGGTGTTCAAAGCAAGCACGACTTTGGTCACGGCACCAGGTACCACCATTGAAAGAGCGGCCGACTTGTGGACTTTAAACTTAATTTTACCTTTCTCCGTGTCTAGAATGAGGCGGCATCGAGCTAGTTGTACAGGTCCGCCAGATGTTCTAACGCGCACTGAATGATCGTTCAGTATCAGCTCTGCCTCTAAACTACAGATAGAAGTCGCCTGTTGGAACAGAGTCAACACTTTGGACACCACATTGTCCTCGCGGCCTGGTTCTTGTGTGGTTAAATGCGTAGGGACCTTCATAAGCTCTGTCCACTGAAATATAAAACGACATGCATATCTAAGATAAGCTTACTGTATAAAACTGCGTAAAATACCTTGGGTAAATGAGAATGAATTGAAGCAGAACTACATGTATAAGGATCAACTGAAGAGAAAATAATGTAACATTACTTTCTCTTGATCAGCAGGCCCCAGTTGTTGGAAGGATTGATAACGCTATACACTGGATAGATCTCTACCCGGTGGATAGCGCAGTACGTTTTGGTAACACTTATCCGCTGGATAGCGATTTATCCGTTGGATAGCGTTATCCGCCCTTTGAACAACCGGAGCCAGATCTATGCGAATTTATAACATAAATGAACATAGTACGCATCGTATTTGTGCACGATCCTCGCAGTAAAGAGCACCGGATTTAAGCAATAGTAAAAATCAGACCTGAAAAAATTCAGGCCTGTACGGGATTCGAACCACTGACCTCTGCGATACTAGTACGCATCATCTGCTTGGTCAATTCAGTTTCCACAAGGATGCTTTATCAGGTTGTAGAGCCCGCAGTTGATCGGAGACAACTAGTTCTGTCATAAAATCAGTAGAACACATTTTTCTGGGCTCTTTTATGTGACAAAGCCACGGAAAGCTTCTCCTCGTGTTCTCCCAACATCCCGAGAGGCTTTATCAGGTTATAGAGCCTAGACAAAATGTGTTCTGTTGCTGAACTATCTTTAAGTCACAAGCGCAATATCCATTTGCATCCTAATTGCGAAGAAGGCTTTTTATGTCGAAACTCTTATCCTAACAGTATACAGAAAGTTTGTCATTATGAACCTAGCTAAACGGCCTAACACGCTAAGAGTCTCACTTCGCTCAGAGGTCGGAGCACCCGAAGTGCTAACAAGGAGGTTGTAGGTTTGACTGCCATTGACAGCACTCGGAGACCTTTTCTCCGAGTACATTTGCCTGTGTGCGGACACAGACCGAATAACATCATCTTTCGGACTTGAAAATCATCAGGTTTAATTGAAATTTATAATCTTAAGCTTCATTTACATCATCGATCATCTCTGAATCTCTCGTGGGGAAACATTTTCTCAAGGTAAAAATATGACAAAGTCAAAACATGTGTCGAGCTTAGCAATTAAAAATGAAAGAGGCTTGGATCAATCGCAAAGGTAACAAATATCATTGACTGTGTTCCTTCTTTTATCAATTAAGTTTGACTCAAAAAAACCCGTGCACAGTCATCAAAGGGCACAAACGAACCCTACATTTCACCAAATTTCGAACATGTACAGAACCTGTCTGACTTGCTCGTAGCATTTGATTTGTTTATATGCGAGGAGAGTTTAACTATCTACTAAAAAAAATTGAAAGGATTCGACAGTATTTGATCGAAACAGCCTTCGTTTTTGGTGGGGTAAGACGGAAATACATTTCGTTTTCACCTTTGGTTTCAATTTCTTTGTTGCATCCTTTGCTTTCCAATGTCTTCCTTTCACGTTGACTACCACCTTGCTTCCTTCTTTTATTTTTGCTTTCCACTGCTCTGTCTCGGCGACTTTTACTGCTACATTCAGAACGGTATCTTTACTATGGACCTCCATTGCGAATGAGTAACTTTTACACAACTTCTTTATAACTCAAAGACCTACAGTGTGATTTGGTTTTATCAACTGAGTTGATAATGTATATTGGCCACCGTAATATGTATTGGTTGAAAAATTGTTTCTGGAAGAGGTGCTATTACCGTCTTGGTTAACTTGCTTCTGCTCTGTTGTACGAAAGAAATGCTTATGCTTTATTTATGCAACTTTCATAAGAGTTTCTCAAATAGAACACTCCAAAATAGTCTGTAAACTTCGTTATTCACTCAGCGGCTTCCGGTCACGGGAAAAACAAACGGTTTCCGGTCCATCGAATCAAGGTAATCAAATTGCCATGTAAGAGCAAAACTTGTTCGGCTTCTACTTAGCTTTTTTTTTTAAAGGAAAAACAGGAAGTTATATAACACAGCGCTCACTGAACTAATAATAAGGAAATATGTGGTTGTAGAATCATTTGCTGAAAAAGGAAAGGATTTTACTCGAAAAAATTATTAACGCTCAACCGCTCACCTGTTGGCGGCTTCGCTAATTAAAAAGAAAAAAAAATCTCTCTGGCACCCATACCCGGGGCACCTACTCTTTGACAAGCCATAAATCTCTCTCGGCTGCGTTCGTCGATTGAGCGAGAAAATATCGAACATAAAATAATGAAAATCATGATAACTATAATGAAATAATGATAATACGATTATTGATAACTCTACGCCGAGTGATAACTTGGAAATGAAGGAGAAAAGAAGATCAATTGTAGTTGGCAGTCTTTGTAGGGAAGGAGTCGCGTGAAGCAAGATATATTTTTGAGTGGAGAGCTTCGCCTAATGAAAGCCGGTCCTCTTACGCTCTTCAGTACTTACAAAAAAATAACCAGAAAAATACACCTTCCGAACATAACTAAAAACATGGAGATGATTTTAAATGCATAGCGGACAGTTAGTACAGAAGGTCTCAATTCATCCAATTCATACACTGATGGAAATACAAATCATGTTCAAACCCTTTGGTCATGACGGACTTTAAAAAATTAATCCGAGGAGGAGAATTATCAGAATTATTTAATGAAATATATTTCATTTAACTAGTATCCGAAAAATGCAGGTTTGAATCTTGTCGATAGGCTTGGAGTCACGCGACGAAGTTAGCCAAAAAGGAGAGACGGTCTCTCCTTTTTGGCTAACTTCATCTCGTGAGTCAAAAAGAATAAATGGAAAAAAAAAAAAATTATGTTGGCGCACCGCGGGAGCTCCATGAGTGAGGCGCTTGAAAAGTAAATTTAAACCTCTTTTACGACTGTTTGACGTTTGAAATCTGACAATTTTTACGCCTAATGGCTAAATTTGTCAGCCATTTTACGGTTAACGGTTAACCCCACTGAGACCCTTTGATATACACTTTTGTTTGGGGGGGGGGGGGAGGGAGCATCGTTGTACAGTGTATCAAATAATTATTCGTTGAAAGGACCCTCCCCCCCGGCCCCCCATGGTTGTGTATCCCACTCAGCCGTACAGTCAGCCAAACAATCTATGCCGTATTATGTTTGGTCAGGTGTCAGGGCTGTTAAGTTTGAACTTGACCCAATACGTGTATTTCATCATAATGTTTGGCTGCCTACTCTTCTTCGATGGGCTCCTAGCAACCAGAGTTTTTATGATTTATTTGGACCTAACGTACCTCAGATAGGATAGATTTAAGTTAAAAGTTAAATCCGGTATCACGAAAAGTTAACTGGTATATTTAGTAGCAAGAATTTTTCGCCGCAATACAGCCTCCTTTTTTTTTTAAGAAGGTTGCTCATGCATGCTCCTCACGTGAATTTAAGTTGCAACACTGAAGATCAGTTCGCGAATCACCTCTTTCTTGCGTTGTGCCGACGAATATATTTTTTCAAGAAATCAATTTTTTGAACACGTCTTAAGAAAAAGAAGTATGGGGTAGCTTCGGATAAGCTACAAAATGAGAAAGCTGTTTAAATTTTCGTGATCTTGAAATGCTGTTAGAAACAGCTTTGTATAAATTAAAATATTCGTGACTAGTCTCCGGAAGTCAAGTGACGTCATAGGGCACCGCTGGAGTAATTCATTCACCCCCCTATAAACCGGCTATTAGCGAAATTTCTTCCTTTTCCCGCTGCTTATCTCATGCGACATGTCTTACGACTCTTACACTGATACAAGGTTAGTTTTTCGTTATTTTTCATGTATTCCCTCTTCTTAACTCTCTTTTCTGTTGCATTTTAAGTTTAAGTACAATTTAGCGACTATTAATTAAATGAAGAAGCTAGCTTTAGATGCGTAACGATGAGAGGAAATTGTGTCTTCAATTGTAATTTTTTCGCTACCGACCGCCATTTTGAACCACGTGTTTCAGTCGGCTGGTGAGCATTTTTCTTGCGTAACTCTCCTAATTCTTTGCCTTTGGTGTCTAAAATTTTTTCATAGAAATCCTGACTCCGACCGGGGTCGTGACGAGCAAAATGGTCCACCAGGAATGGAACAGGACGGAGATATCGAGGTTCGTTCAAAGTCTAACATTTGTGAAACAAAGCTGAATTTTTTTTGTCTTTCGTGTTTCATGCTTTTGAGTAAAGTTAATTGTCTATTTCTTACTGTTTTATTTTGTTGTACTTTAGACTAACTGGGACGAAGTTGTTGACAAATTTGATAATATGGGGCTGAGAGAAAATTTACTCCGAGGCATCTACGCATACGGGTGAGTGTCCACTTCGGCCGACAACTGCTTGATTCAATTCATTTCAACCGAATAGATCTCCGTCGAATTAAATCAGGCGTTAGCTTAAACCTAATGTCCACGACATTTTTACGATTTCAGTTTTGAAAAACCATCAGCAATTCAACAGAGAGCTATAATTCCTTGTTGTAAAGGTTAGTGCTATTCGCCCATCTTGATCAAAGAAGTTTTGACTGTAATAAATAACTCATGGAGGATCAGTGTTTACTACTGTCCTTTTTTGCGCAGTATTCCTGGGAGTGAAAAACTATTGTGAACCATTACTTGCACAAAGTTATCGTGTTTAAAAATTTATCACTCTGAATTGTTGGTTGAAGCGCTATGGGAAGAGAAATGCAATGCTTAGACAAAGGCAAAACACTGGATCAATTTGAAAAGGCACTGATCTTTTCTCAGTATTTTGTCACTGCTGTAGAAATCTTTGCCTTGTCGCTTAAAATGCTAAGGTTGTCATTTATTTTTATATCTGTATATTTAAGGTAATAACTATTACATAGGAGAGCCTATGTGTATGATGTGATTCGTGAAGTAAAATGTCAAGAATTAAATATTGGGAAATTTTAACTTACGTAGTCAACTAGTTGGTGAAAGTTCTCTTTAAAGAAGTTTTGTATTTCAGTAACAAATGAACGGCAAGCTTTTAAAGAAAGGTTTTTGAAATTAGATGTTTTGGCATTAGCCTCTAATAAGATCTTTTCTTTAAATCAGCAATATCACAACTTTGTGAATGGCTCCTTCTTCATCACAGTTGCCAAAATAATGTGCATTGATGGGTAGCATGATCAGAATCGTTGGTGGATTGTGTAACATTTTGAAGCATGGTATTAGATGTGAAACTACAAATATTTGCAGTCTTCTGTAACGTGAGCAATTTCCCGGTGGATTGTGTTTTGTTATAAATTGTGCTTTTAATGTAGATGTTAATTAGTTAGATCAAATGTGGAGTTCAGTGAAATGATGAATTCTTTGTCAGAATGTGCAGCATTTTGAAACATGTTACAAGTCTGAATGTGAACCTGTCACTGTAAATGTACATTGTGAAGTACAATTATTTGATTCCTTGAAACATTTTTTAAGTCTAGATGTCAACCTGTGAGCCCACATGCACAGCTTAATTGCAGTCAAGTGCCATCTTCTTGAGACAAATTTAAAGACTATTTTTTCAGGAAAGGGATAAAATAGAATCTCATGCTACTGTTTTTTTTTTAAATTGAAAGCGAAAACAAACCACCTGTTTTGAAATTCAAAAGAGTGCTTGCAGTAGGCACAAACCTTTCTATGGCCTTTTTTGTTGAAATATATTGAAATTACAAATTGCTGAGCAAAGAGGCTATCAGTAGAGAGGCTGAACATCCTAATGGCCATAGCAGCTCAAGTGCTACCTGTGTTGGAGTTTCTTGAATGTACTCTACAAAGAATAAGGCAAAGAAATCTAAATTTTTTCAAAAAGCCAGTAATGGGATTAACCCTATGAGCTTCTCAATGGCCCTGTTAGTATAGTTAGCCATGGGACTCTTACTAGGAACACTTAAAAGAAAGAAACTTATCTAGACATTCATTTTAAGGATTATTGTGTGGGGTAGCTAAGTTCTCCCTCAACCTTGCAATATTACTCAGTAACACAGAACACAGTGCTTCAGAATGTTAACCTTAAACCTTCCAAGATCTGATTGTCAATTCTCCCCACCAGCTGTTTCACATTTCCATGTCAAATAGTTATTAGAATTTGGTGGTAGATCAAGATAATAACTTCTACCTAGTAAGTTTGAGTATTCTCTTTACCTTCTACCTGATAAGTTTAAATTTTCTCTCTACCTGTCTGCTGGATGAAGTGTAGATATTATAGTAAGTGGTTATAATTATGCTTATCACTTCTGGGAACTAGTGTTTATTGCCCAAATGAAGTGCAGCATATACTTGCAATGCACCATCGAAGGGTTACAACGATGATAAGGAGTTTCACTTGTTGCACATTTGACTGTTGGGTTTCCTTGATCCGATGTTACCCAGTGAAGGTCATCAACTTCTCCTTTGTTCCTTTTTTCTTTTCTTTTTTTTGGGGGGGGGGTGCTTAGGGTTTGAAATTTCTCATGAAACTATGAAAGTGTACCTTTTTGTTGTAACAGTCAGCTTACAGAGATAATGTATTTATGGGTTGCATTTTTATATCTTGTTTTCTAGGATTAGATGTTATTGCACAAGCGCAGTCTGGTACTGGAAAAACAGCTACATTCTCCATTTCAATCCTGCACCAGATTGATGTGTCTTTAAATGAATGTCAGGCTCTTGTGTTGGCTCCAACTAGGGAACTGGCACAGCAGGTATTAAATCAAATTACTGGTTACATTATTGTTTCTGATTTTTGGATGGGGAAACACTTGTTGGAAGTGGATTTTACTAGACTAAATTT